CCCCCCCCCCCCCAACCAATCAAATTTGAACTGTATTTCTGCAGACCCTCAGATATATTTAGTGGTCTCAAGATTATCCAACCTTGATTTGCCGACTGGTGATTCAGTTTCCCCACTGTACCAGATTTATTAATTTTTTTTCTCTCACTAAATATGTCATAAAAATATATTTTTTTTAATCAACTATGAGGCAGTGCAAGAGAACTCTCTATTAGTTATTAGCTATTACTATTTAATGCCATTATACCTCTTTTTGTTTTTGCTGTTAAACTTTATATAGCTCTTTAACTTTATACAGTTTCTTGTATCATGTTGAGCAGATGAGCTATGTAGAAGAACTCACGGACCTGATTTGGTCCACAGACCACAACTTTGGGAAACACTGATCCATATCTCTTTAAACTAAATTTTTTCTAAACACTTACATGGACTCTGAACATTCCTCAGTAAGCTGCTGTAATTTAGATCTAAGAATATTTGCAGGCATTCTCAATGAAATTTTCTTAATGAAATTAATGTCAGTATTATTAGTTCTAAATTTTTTTATTTTTTTTTTAATTCAAATTTTTGTTGATTTGCAAATTCTATAAATTACTTTAATCTTACATGAGACAACAAAACAAGCTTTCTTGGTTACATAAAATAATTGATGAATAACTCGGAGAAGATGTAAAAAAACAAAACAAACAAACAAGGAGAGATTTATTACAAATATGGCATAGCTTTACTAAAAACCAACAATTTATTCTTCAATCTCAACAACATCTGGCTTGGTGGATTAAATCCTTTGTTAGTCCATGTCTATGACATCTGGCTGGGTGGAGTAAATGTGAGACTTGGGATCCATGAGTTGAGCGATGAGATCAGTCTGGAAGTCCATGCCTTTAAGATTGGTCATCACATGGCGTCGATTGGCTGGGTCCATAAACAGGAGGTCAGCTGAGGGAGCAAATTGTAATGATCAGATAGCTCTTATTTTGTGGCAACATAGAATAAAACATAACATTCTTGGGGCAATAGAAAACCAGTCGACCATATCAAGGGAAGCATCTGATAGCATTAATATCTTTATTTTCTATTATCTAAATCCTGAACCTGGGCAGTTTTTGAAAAGCAAAATCCACCTCAAAAATCTTTGCACAAAGATTAATTAATGGAAATTATATCTTGATTAAAAAAGTGCAACTAAAAAAAATGTGCAAAACAGGCAGAATTATAAAATCCTGACAATGAAACTTGATATTCCAACTCAGGTCTGACCTATGGATAACGTTACCTGAAGAAAACAAGATGAATTCGTCACTCTTAGGATAACTTGGTGGGAGAACAGCAATGATGGGAAACTCAGTGAGGCAGTGACCTTTCAAGTTTTCAGCAAGGGACAGATTGGACTTCATCTCAAAGTATCTAAAATTTTAGAAACATTTGAAGAGCTTATTTTACAAACATTCTCATCATGAAATATATATGTCAAGGGATTTCACTGGAATAAATAAAAAGATAGTTGTTTTTTTCTAAAATTTTTCCAAAGGTAAAGTCCAATAGTATATGACAACAGTGTTTGCCATTTTTAAGACATGAAAACGTCACAAGGCATTACGTAAATGTTACTATTTTTAGACAAGATTTTTGTAAAACATGACTCTAACAATTTATTGCAGCATATATAAAGCAATAACAAACTTTTTTTGTAAAAATCTTTTGTTAAATAACCACAGAGGTACCGAACGGCTTTTAGAGTTGTCCAAATGGAACACCCAGATCTTTCCGTTATTTAATGAGTGGCCAAACTGAATGCCCAAACATCCTGTTAATCGATTTTTGCCATTAAATGACAAACCCTAATATCTTAAAGTTAATCTTTTATTGTAGGAGCTCAACTACAATTCTCTAAATTTCATACACACATAATAAAGTTATGACAGGCACTCGTCACATGATTCCTTCTTTGGCAATTATTACATCATAAAGTGAATTCCTCACTAAGCAAAGAGCCTAAATCGTTTTTATTTATTCTGAAACACTCTAAAGCAGGGGCGGGCAACCTACAGTCTTAAGGCAGCATACGGCATTCTTGGTCTTTATTGAATCCAAACTTTAACAGGAATAATCATTCCTATTTCCTAAGATCTCAATTACCGGTACTACTTAAGTTAGTGCTTTCCGACACAGTGACATTTAATTATGGCTCAAACTACTCAAAGTCATTACTATGATCAAAACTGTTTACAAAGATTCATCTGACTGCTCTGTTGCTATTTTACATACTTCATTTTTGAAAATATCTTCTCACACAAATAGATATTGCCAAGACTGAAATAAATTTACAAGCAAATTCAGCAAATTGACCACTTGGGAGCCACATATATAAATCTATCAGTTTTCCTTTTTTGTCTGTCTTTCAACATATCTATCACTTCCAATTTCAGGTGGCAGCTTATCAAAAACACAATCGAACAGATTTTGAAAGAATTCTTTTTTTCTACTGGTATCAAGTCCTTTAAAACGGGGGTGGAACTGTGGTCTCATGCCAGAGTGCACTCCTTGAACAAACTCGCATGCACATTTTTCACATCATGGGAAACAACCCCTCATCAACTTAAAATTCAACAGTTGTTCAAATTTAGTTAGTACGAAAGTTCCAAATTATATACAGTACTAACTTAGAAGTTATTTCAATTGGAGATTCAGAAGAAGCTGAAACATCGTGATCTTACTGGCTGGAAAGGGGCATAAATAAATACTGCTTTAAGACACATGTTTAGTTATTTGGATAACTAATTATTAAATAAAAAATTATATTAAAAATTTATTTTAATAAGCTCATGCCACAGACCTGTTTACTCTTACGATTTTGGCATACAATGTAAGATTTTGAGGTGTATATATTATATATAATGCATGTTTGTTTTTTATTATTAAGATAATGTATTGAATGATTTTGTGATGATATTGTACGATTTTAAGAGTTTATGGGTAAACAGGTCTGGTGTCAGGCCGGATAAACCATAGTATACTGACCTCTGCTATAGGCCGTCAGCGTAAATTAGCCGGATTTTGGTTTTAAACAAAAAATGCTGTTAAGTGAGGGGTTCCTGTCTTGTATAAAAATTTGTTATCGATTTTCCCTGTTAAACCTCACTGGTACATATTTTATTATTTACAATTGAAGATCACCTTTGTCTGTTGGCTGGAAGGCAGTCAACTTTCAAGAGAAATCTGCTTTTATCCAAATTCTCTTTCTTGTAATCTTCTAGTGGCTTCCTTAGCTCTGGATGGTTGACAGCATTAGTCCACTTCCTGGCAGCATCGATAAGAATTGTGTTCTCTGGCACTCTTAATGGAAAAATATGAATGTGAGCTTAAATTTCGAAAATGTCTGACTACTGCTAAAGGAATACAATATCTATGCTCAATTTGATTACATAAATCTTCATAAAAAAGATAAATGGTTGCATTAAAATAAATTTTTAATTTATATTACCTTTAAATGCATTCCAAGAGCCAACAATTTATGACCAACAAATGACAACTCACTTTTCATCTTTGACTACTGTGTTGGAAGCCATAAACATTTAAAGACCAACAAATGACAATTCACTTTTCATCTTTGACTACTGTGTTGGAAGCCACAAACAATTAACGATCAACAAATGACAACTCACTTTTCATCTTTGACTACTGTGTTGGAAGCCACAAACAATTAACTACCAACAAATGACAACTCACTTTTCATCTTTGACTACTGTGTTGGAAGCCACAAACAGCCACTCAATGTGCCACGAGAGTAGGTCTAACCTGTTGCAACACATCATAGAACAATGGATTGAACATTTAGTGTGTGCTTGGATATCAAACATACAAAGTGGAGCTTAAATAATAATGGATATGTTTTGACTAACATAAATGCATTTAAATACATTTTTCTTTTAGTTTTAACACCTTAAGACATTGGTTCTTAGTTGGGTTTTAAGGATACTAATGAGGAATTATGCAGATTTCTAATCCATCAAGATTTTAACTGAATGTTAAAAATATCTCTTCATTCATTAGCCTCAATCTATAACATATTATTATGAGGTTTGCTTCCACACTGTATTATAAAAAGTTAAGAACCCTTAACCAGGAAAACAAAATTAATAAACAGGAGTTCATACCTAACTGTGTAATAACTGGTATTGAGCTTGTGTTTGGTCAAGACTTGTGCAACCATCTGGACCTTCACACCTCGCTTATATGCGGCATTGACCAGCAGCTTGCACTGGAATAAGCAATGCAGTTATTCGTACATAAAGGACGATACACAGTAGAAATTATTTAAACTTAGGTAAAATATTAATAGAATCATTATAAGAGTCTCTGAGGCAAATCAGAAAAGTTGTACAAGTTCATCAAGTGGATACACAGAGTTCTTGATTTACAAATGTTAAAAGTGATTCAGTAAATTTAAAAATGATATGAAGGGATCCCCTCCAATTTCTATGCATATATAAAATGAGCTCTCAGTCACTTGAGACCTTTAAATTTAATGTTAATTAAACAAAGTGATAAAATACCCATCTGAGCAAAATGGCAACAACTTGAAACTTTCAAATCTCTTTATAACAAAGAGGGAGTAACTAGAATACATGGATGGATTTTTTAATTTTCCATAGAAAAATTTTGGGTGATGATGACAGCAATGAATTAACCCTTTGAATTTGAATCCTTGGTCATAATATACCCATGCCCCTGGGCACCTAGCAAAAAAAAGACAAACGAAACATATCACAGGGAGAAAACTGTCTTAGAATAGGTGTAGAATAGCATAGTAGGTCATTTTCCCACCCCTGATTTTCATAAAAACCAGTGATAGGAATGGGGGTAAACCTTGTATCGTTTCTTTAATTCTCAAACCAGAAATGCCATCATTTACACTAGTCAATCGATTGTCCATATCTATTTATTTTATTATAATAATTTTCATAACAGGATAATAATCCCTTGAATTATTTAAATTATGATCAACCTGCTCTGGTTTGAGTCCTTAGGAATAGCGATTTTTTTGCAATTATGTCCTTTCTATTAAAAAAAATTATAACAATAACATTGGCGCACTCATTACTGTAAACTTTCTGAATTCATGTAGTAAACCCTGAAATAAGTGTTTAGAACACATTTTTATATACAGAGTGTTGATCTAGGGCAAGATATGGGAGACCGAAATATCACTCTGGTTGGGTTTGGATAAAGACAGAATAAGTGGGATCGCTGGTTCGAATTACATGACACAAACAATTTTTGCAAACATTCACCCCTTGTGCTTGGGCCAATTCAAAATTTTCAAAAGAGATTTTTGCTAAGCTCAAGTCAGGAGAGTGGTATAATAAATGTTTGTAGATCAAGAATAGTCCTCAATGAGAAATTATTTAAATAAACAAAATGAAAAGCAATGTGAAATCTTGAAACAGTTTAATTTATGTTTTTCTAAGGTCTGCTGTGTGGATTACTTAATTTAAATTACTTTAAAATAGCCTACTCTAGCACATATTATATATTTTTTAATCTTACTCTCTTGGTTAAATGATTTGGCCCACCAAAGTTGTGTTTGCGCTTATTGCCTGCGTCAGCTTTAGTACTGTATACTTGTCGATTGGCATCTTCCAAGAACCTGTAATCTGAAGGCACAAACAGAGAAATGATTAAGTGGTAGGAAGAGAATCAAGGTATGTAAAAAAAACATTTTTATTGATACAGAAAAGAGCTTAAAATCAACTAATTTTTTTTATAAGTTCTTTTTGTAACAAACTTTAAAGTATTGAGAAATGAACCATGTCTGTTCAGCTGAAAGAGCTCACCGTTTAGCATATGGCTCTCTGAATATTCAGAGATGTCAACAAAAGCAGTCTTTTTCCTCTCCCCATTACAGAAGAACCTTCTTTTGTGTTCTTTAACACAAGGCAAAGAGCATGTCTTCACATGACACCCAGGGCAAGTGTAGATGGCTACTGTTGATCCACACAGTTCACACACTGTATTCTTTTGTGACCTGATTTTAAAAAAAGACATAATCATAATAACTTTAATGGAAATTCTGAAGGTAGTTTTTTTTTTTTTAAATATCATTTTAATGATTACTTAAAGGAGATATAAAATTCACTGTTGATAACATTAATTTCTATTAAGCCTTTAGGGATATGCTTTTAGGGAATGAAATTTCTGAAAAAAGATGTCTCAAATTTAGTAAGATGTTCTTTTTGTTTGGCAAGCCCTCTAATTAATAAATAATGCCACCTAATAATTTAATATAAATAAATTATAGAAATTAAAAAATGACCTAACTCCCCTGGGTTCTTGCCTACATGCCTACTCAGCTACTGGTGCCAATCAGGCCTACTCGGTTACTGGTACTGATTAGGCCTGCTTAAGCATCAACCCTTTTAAATAAAACCCAAGTTTACTTATGACATTACCACATGTTGTCGTCGTCATGTTTATATTTTTGCTGTGCAAGGCAGCAGGCTAAGCATCCTTAATACAAACTCATCTCATTGGTTTCATAACGCTAGATATTTAAGTTAATAGCTTCGTAAACAAGTAAGTAATATACTATGATATAGTTCTATAATTTCTTGCTTTTTGCATGTAGGCTATTGTTTTAAAAAATTTAATGATTTTCTAAACATTGTTTCTTATTGTAAGCCCAAACAATTTACCTATTTAAACCACCACTCTCAATGCCTGTAGACTCATCGATAAGAGAGGCATCAACTGATGGGTCATCATCTATAAGTATTAGCTCTACAGAAGAGTCGATTTTGTCTACCAAGCATTGTGGGCCATAAGGTCCATCCAAATGTGTTGTATCCTGACCAATTGGTAATTCATTGGCTGTTGCAGCTTGACTCACAGATAATTCATTGGCTGTTGCAGCTTGACTCGCAGGTAATTCAGTGGCTGTTGCAGCTTGACACACAGGTAATTTAGTGGCTGTTGCAGCTTGACTCGCAGGTAATTCAGTGGCTGTTGCAGCTTGGCTCACAGGTAATTCATTGGCTGTTGCAGCTTGACTCGCAGGTAATTCAGTGGCTGTTGCAGCTTGACTCACAAGTAATTTAGTGGCTGTTGCAGCTTGACTCGCAGGTAATTCAGTGGCTGTTGCAGCTTGACTCACAGGTAATTCAGTGGCTGTTGCAGCTTGACTCACAGGTAATTCAGTGGCTGTTGCAGCTTGACTCAAGGGTAATTCAGTGGCTGTTGCAGCTTGACTCACAGGTAATTCAGTGATTGTTGCAGCTTGACTCACGAGTAATTCAGTGGCTGTTACTGTTATATCTTTAGGCACCGGTATTTCAATGGAAATTGTATCTTGGTTTCCAGCTAATTCAGTGGTGGTTAATAAATCTTGATTGAAAAATAATTCATTGGCTGTTGTATCCTTATGCACTGGTAACTTAGTGGCTTTTTTATCACTAGGCACTGGTAATTCTGTGGCTGTTGTATCTTGATCCACAGATAATGGAATGACCGTTGTATCCTTAGGCATTTCCATCATTGAGTCCTGTGGTGGGCAGTCCTCATTTGATGAAGTGAATTCAGCGCCAATAATTTGTTTATCTCCATGTTCACTCATAATTTATTATAATAATCTTCTTAACATTAGGTAGTTACAAAAGTTTTTTTAAAGAGTTTTTCTCTCTTTATCGTGTTAAATAATATTGAAAGGAATAAAGACAAATCCCTGTAAGTCCAAAAGTTGCCAACACTAACACACGTTTTTACAATATAAAATTGAGATGACAGTCGGTAGCAGTTATATTTATATAAAACTTCTTTGGGATTTTAAACGATACATACATATCATTTGTAAATAAAAATATGATTAAATGACGATACTTCAATAAGGATTTTTAAAACTTAAATAACAAATTTGGTATTCGGTAATTAAAATTTCATACAGGATTTTTTTAAAACTTAAAACACCTGCTTAATCAAATCATAATACATGTTTGGGTTTGATTAATTTAGGTTTGTATATCGAAATATTATAAAGTATCGAAATATTATAAAGTATCGAAATATTGATACCAGTTAAATTAAAGTAGCCTCCCCTTTTATTCATTTAAACCATATTTTTATGGTCCAATAGTCTTCACAGACTTCACTTCTCATCAGCTTATTATTTTGTTTAAATCCCATTGGGCCAATCCTTTGTTGTTGTTTGTTATATCAACATAAAGTTACTAATCTCCTTCGCATAAGCAGGTAACACAAAATTTAACCAATGTGCATAACACCGTCTTCATAAATTTAAGGGACAAGGTGTGTGCTTTTTCTAATAATTTTTAATAACAATCAATTGGTATGCTTAGCATCGCATGGAAAATGACTAAATGTTTAGCTATAGTTTAAACTTTTTAAATAATTTTATTATATACACATATATTTAAGATATCAAACTTAAATTACTTGAGCTTTTATTGAAACAAATGAGATATATATCTTTTTAAAAAAATAACATCTAAAGATTGTTTTAAGTTAATGCGTTAATTTCTTTTGCACCCATTAGATGTATTAAATTATTATTAGGCTCTTAAGATTAGACAAAGCTAAGATTTTGTCAGCAAATGCTATAAGGCAATATGAAGAAGTAGCTTACACTGTCCTATCTGTCTTGTGTTCTTTCCTATCTGTCGTGTGTTCTATTCTATCTGCTTTGTGTTCTATCCTGTCTGATAGTTGTCACGTATCTTTATTTGATTTGTTTCTTTCATTTTCATCAAATTTTTTGGACTTTTATACTTCGTAGTCACACCGAATTAAAAACAAGTCATTTTCCACTGACAATGTAAACTTAAATTTTAATACCGAAAAATATCTATCAAACTGTATAGAAAAGTCTCCACTGACTTCCCTTCTCATCAGCTTAATATTTTGTTTAAATCCCATTCTGCTATTCCTTTGTTGTTGTTTTTTCGAACGCCAGAGATATTCTAGACACCACGTCATAATTACCATAAATATGCGTCACCAGCTTAATGGTGGGAAAATAGTTCATTAACTAAACGAACTCTCAGAACACAGCGCGCACAATAAAACACAATGTTCGGTGCGCAACAAGTCTAGTAAATACCCATACTGATACTCAACAGAAGTCTATCCTATCTTCTTCTTCTTCTATATATTAAGAGCCCACGATCAATGTATTGATCATTCTGGCTCCTATGCATGTAGAGGGGATTTGCAATGTTTCTGTGTCTGGTATTGAAGAGGATATTTCACTGGTTGCAAGGCTTACTCAGAATGGATGCCAGGAACTGCGGGTTGGAAGGTCCCAGGCAATAGATGCAAATGTGTCAAGTGTTGTCGCCCCAACAGTTGTTTTTGGAAGCTTGTTCCACTCCCTGCTTGTCTTTTGCAGGAATAAACAGTTCATGTACGGTGTTCTTGCTGTTGTGAGCCAGAACTGCCTGTCAATGCCTCGACGCTGTCTAGAGGGAAGACAAGACGGTCGAGTTTCTATTTAATGCTGGAACAGTGGACCAGCCCATTTTTTGTATCTTGTACATCATGTAGAGCCTGGATAATTGGTCGTCGCTCCTCCAATGGTGACCAGTCCATATGTTTGGTCAGCCCCATGTGCTGGACGACCTTGAGTTATATTGTTAACCTCTTTCACACACACACCCACCTATGCACACGTAAACGTATACAAATTGTCATCCTCCCATGATAAAATTAATATCTTATTATTAAAACAATATTAACAATTGAGCAAGTTCTTCAACAGTCACAATTGTTATATAATAGTATCACATATTTTAATAAATGTACATTTATCTAGATAAACATTTGACAAAAGTCTTCATGGCTTTAAACTTGATTAATTGAGCCCAAAAATCCCACCCCCTTTTTTCAGCGGATAGGACTACTGTGTCTTAAACTGTCTCAGTTGTCTTCCCCCAGCAAATACTGTGTCTTAAGCTGTATCAATTCTCCCCTCCAGCAAATACTGTGTCTTGAAAGGCGAATCCATGGGGGCCAGTCCATGACGGGAGAATGCGCAGAGCAATGCGTCAGTGCTGATGGTGTAAGAATGGGGCACCATGATGTGGCCGTGGGGCGCCAGGTGGTGGACGTGCTGCAAATGGCGCCTCACGTGGTTGCAGATTTCGGGGAAGTTGCTGGAGCGGCCGTAAAACTCCAGGTCAACACAGATTCCAGCCTTGCAGGAGTACCAGGTTGTCATGGAGACGAGACCTTGGTTCGGTGGGTTCCGGCCAACTCTCACCTGCAAATAAAAATTTGGCCAATCATCAATTTAATCATTTTGCAAACAAAAAAAAGGGGGTTGGAGGGTGTCTGCTGATTTACCTTTAAATGTATGTAAATAATTTAGGAATGGCGTCATGGGAATAATTTCCGTAAGTTTTAGCTAAATAAACATGCAAACAAAATGATTTATTATTAAAAAAAATATTTTTGGGACGGGTTGGGGAAGGAGGAGGTGGTCATAACCTACTTTGTCGGACATCAAGATGAAAGGATTTTCCGATTGGATCAGTTCGGAATTTGCCGTCATGAGTCGGAAGGGTACGGCATTGATGATGATTCTGTGATAGAACAGTTTAATGGTTAGAGAGTATGTTAGCAAATTGTTGATTTGAAAGGGAAAAAAACAAAACTGAATGGTGACATTGTCGCTGAAGTGAATGATATGATTGTACAAATACACTTTCTGTGCATGTACACTATCTGTTCATGTACGCTATCTGTAAATGTAGAGTGAATTATATGTCTTTAACTTAATTTATGTGCAAGCTATCAACAAACACGACAGTTGATTATGAAATATCAACTTCTACCTCCTCGCCTGGAGAGTTCTCATTTACTGTAAAATATGGTTTAGCTTCTTTATAAAAAAAGTATCTTCTAAGATAGATGATTCGAGTACAGCAAGTTGTTTATTTGGCTAACGTTGGAACCCCCCCCCCCCAAAACACACACATATATTTCTTAAAAGCGTAACTAAGGGAGTTTACGCCTTAAATAGAGTAAAATTGTAAAAAAAAAAAAATACTCAGGGACGTAGAGGACTTTACAGTCAGAGGAGGGGGGAGGGGGGTTCCAACGTTAGCCATCCTTGGAGCACTATATAACCCCCCCCCCCAAAACACACACATATATTTCTTAAAAGCGTAACTAAGGGAGTTTACGCCTTAAATAGAGTAAAATTGTAAAAAAAAAAAATACTCAGGGACGTAGAGGACTTTACAGTCAGAGGAGGGGGGAGGGGGGTTCCAACGTTAGCCATCCTTGGAGCACTATATACTGCTTTGCTTTACTTCTTTATAAAAATTTAAAATTTGTAACGCCACAGAGGGATCCAGACCCCCTCCCCCCACCTCACCGCCTCCTTTCCGAACAGCTTCCCTGTGATTACTAGTTAAACAATAATGAAGCCATGCCACAGAGTTTCGACTGAGCGTTACCAGTGAGACACTCTGAAATCTTATTTTGTACAAAGCTGATGTTACCTCTCGTACGGGAACAGGTACTGGCTAAACGCTGGCCTAACGAAGACGTCGCACAGCTGACCAACGGTCAGCTCTGTGACGGTCGTCGCTGAGAAATCATCTCTCTCTGGGATGTCCAAGTTCGACGTCTGGTACGGGAACACGTGCACGTTCTGTGAGAGGAGAGACATGACTGGCCTGTGCATCATCAGTACCGTTACAAACATTTGACATGATGTACCATCATTAGTAGAAGGTTTTATAGATAAAATTTGGAACACACTCCCTGACGCTCTCAGAAACAGCCAGAAACTGGAGTCTTTCAAAACCGAATTGAACACACATATATTTCGCAAACACCTGCTAGGGTGATGTTGTCTACCATCTTTTCCAGCTGGCTATTATCTCCTAGATTTATAATGGCCTGTGTTGTTTATGTTTGTAAGGGTTGAAAGAATTAGAATGGGTATTCTCGTATGTAGTTTTTTTTTGTGTAATGTTGCGTTTACAATGCGTTTTGTATTTCCATGTGGTATAATATAGTTATTTTTCATTCCTCTTTTAATATGTTTGACGTTGTACCGCGCTTCGAGCTTTTGGGGATGAAGCCTGATTTTCAAATAAACTGTATTATTATTATTATAAATACCGCATGATCGATACCCAATGATATTCAGTGAGTACATGTAGTCATATTTTTAACCAAGTTCCAGTACGATCGTTTAGTGTTACCATGGAAAATAATTCATTTTGGTAAGAATTTTTAATTTTATTTTTTATCTTCAGCATATGGGAATTGCATTAAACATAAAAATAGCTACAAACATATGTCACAAATAATTACAAACGTGTGTCACAAAGAATTACAAACATTCGTCACAAATTATTACAAACACGTGTCACATTCACTTTTCTATTAACCATATAGAATAACTTAACAAGACAAAACATCATTTCCTCTCACCCGCTTAAGAATGACTTCGTTCGGAATCAAAGATGGCGAATCTTTGGCCAGTTCGGCTGTGCTCGACGTTATCATGGCAATGAACTTGCTGGCATGCCTCGCGACCAGTCTGTCGACGATGTGGTTCCGGAGACTCTTCAGGATGCCGAGTCCGTGATAGTTCTGTTTGACCCTTGACCCCCGGGCCACAATGGTTATGCCGTCATCGACGACATGTGCAGCCTCAAAGGCAACCTGTCCGTGTTATAAACAAAGGCAAAATGGCAGCGTTATAAAAAAAAATTACCCTTCCCTTCACCCGTTGGACATCAGACATCA